CCTCCCAGCTTGGTGTCGTCCGCAAACTTACTGAGGATACATTCAATCCCCTCATCCAGGTCATTGATAAAGATGTTAAACAGAACTGGACCCAGCACTGAGCCCTGGGGAACCCCACTGGTGACAGGCCTCCAGCCGGATTTAGCCCCATTTACCACCACTCTTTGGGCCCGGCCATCCAGCCAGTTTTTAACCCAAAGGAGGGTGTGCCTATCCAGGCCAGCAGTTATCAGTTTCTCAACCAGAATACTATGAGAAACTGTATCAAAGGCTTTATTGAGGTCAAGGAAAACTACATCCACAGCCCTTGCCTCATCAACCAGGCGGGTCACCCCATCACAGAAGGTGATCAGGTTTGATTGGCAAGACCTGCCTTTCATAAACCCATGTTGACTGGGCCTGATCACCCGGTTAACCTGTATGTGCTCATTAATAGCACTCAAGATAACCTGTTCCATGACTTTGCCCGTCACCGAGGTCAGACTGACAGGCCTGTAGTTCCCCAGATCCTCCTTCCGCCCTTTTTTGTAAATGGGGGTAACATCTGCCTTAGGTACAGATCTGTAGAAAACCAGACTTGCTTAAACCTGTTTCAAGGAAGTTACTGTATGTTTATTCTCTTCACGGTAAACTACTGCATCTGGATGTGTGTCACAGCAGTTTTTGTAATTAACTACAGCAGAAATTGTTTCAGAGATAAGCTTACTGAACTCATGTTAATCTGTTTCCTCCTTCTGTTTGCTGCTTCTGTTTCTCATTCAGCTGTGGTGTATTGCTGTCAGCTGAGTGCTTGGTGCAAATCCACTGTTATGTTCAACATTTTTTTGTTTCCAGGATAATGAACATGGCAAAAAACATCTTTATAAAATATGGTAAAACCAGGCAAATTCAGGTTCAGCAAGAGCTTGTCTGCTTCTTTTTTAACTTAGTAAAATGTTCTTGATGGTCAATGTACATGATGTACTCTGGCACTTCAGCAGTGGAAACTTGATTTGCAAGAATCTGGAAAAATCATAAAGCTCTGCTATTGTTAATTAGTTATGCATTTTAATTGCAAGTGTTCTGATATTGTTATAGAATGGGTTTACGTGAGAGAGTAAAATGGGGTCGCTTGCTGCTAACAATGGAAAAAGTACTGAAGATGACACAGCCAGTGGTTACAGAGTGTAAAAGACCAGCTCTATATGTTCTGTAAAAGTACCTGTGCAAAGGCCCAAATCTGAAGATTTCCTTTCAGTGAATACTTAAACAATATTGATTTTGTTTCCTTATTTTAGAACTAAGTAATGATGAAAAAATAAGGAAATGACAATGCTGTAATGAAAATTTTCCTTGCATTTGTGTGTTCTGCTGTATGGTTATCAGTTCCTCTATATCCGTTCAAAATCTTTTACCAATATAAAGATACAGTAAAATAGTGCATGTTAACAGTAAAAACAGCTGTTAATGTTAAGTACTGCTTCTCTAGCATTTTACTTCTTTGAAGTATTAGAATGGAAACAAGTTAGCTTATGGACTGTTAGTAAGTACTGGGGAGATACAGGCTGCATACCTGCTCTTTTCTCTAACCCCTTGTTCCATGTTTACGGCTAAGCAACAACAGTATAGCTTGCTTTTTAGGAAGTAATATTATTTATCAAAATATTTTCAAACTAATCTGTGAGGTGGGGGAAGAAGAACTGGTGTAATACTAAAATCTGAGTCTCACTCCACCTGTAGCACTTTATTCAAACATCCACTCTTGGAAAACAAACAAAAAACCACCCACAAAAAAGTCAGTCCCCAAAACTACCTCTTAGAATGCCTTTGAATATTCAACAGTTCAAAAGCATTTTTAAATAACATATTTCCTTCTGTGTCATTTAAAGAGCTGCTAAACTGTTTTCTTTCTTTTGTGGGTATGTTTTATGCCAACATTTCTAGCTGTTTCCACCATTTCAAATCTGTGGTCTGAAACTTAAACTATGTCTATTGTTTCACAAAGCTATGTGTGTATGTCAAGTTCAGTTAACTGTACTCTGTCAAACTTTATGTTAAAAAGCCTTTCAGTCAAAAAGAGACTTTAGAAATGGAGTTTTAAGCAGATGGTTATGTACTTTGTCTATGGATGTACAATGAAATACAGAGAATTTAGGATAAGAATGTTTGCATGCCTGGTCAGTAAGAATTTTCCTCATAGATATTCTATAACTTTTTATTACAGGCACTCCCTGATAATGCTTAATTTGTTAACTGAATTTCTTAGAGCAATATAGGAGCTTTCAAATTCTGCACCGTAAATATGGATTTAAAATTTCGCTTGTGAAGCTATTTAGCGTATGGATTATATATAAACTAAGCTGGTCTTGAGCTGATACTTCCTTTTCATTGTTCTCCTCTGACATCAGTGTATAAGACGTGCAGAAGAGTACACTGTGACAATATGTTTAGGTTTAAACAATTACATATAATTAGAGTGGTAAATGTCATGATGTACAAGTGTTAGTGAAATATGTTCTTAATTATTACTTTTCTTTGTGTCATATTTCATCCCTTGAAGCCAGCAATACCCTCAAGATGCTTTAGCCCATTTAAGGCACTTCTCCACTCCCTACTAATTATCTGTAATTAATACCTTGCTAAAAATTTGGAGTTGCTTCGTCTTGTCTTAGTATCATCGTTACCCATTTATTTAAAAATCTAACTTAATTTCAATTCAAAGTAAGTTCTTTCACAAATATTTTTTTCTGAAATTTTCTCTTCCATTCTGAGGCAAAAGAAAAAATGTATTTTTTTAATCTGTATGTTATTTGCATTAGTAGAAAATAGTTTGTGTTCTAGCAGAAAGTTTCCCTTCAAAACAAAAAAGGAAACATTTTGGTAATAAATATTTGAAATTGAAAGTTACTAGACCATTTCTGGTTTCATTGGCAATTTACCTCTGGACTGCTGTACTCGAAAGAGCACTCCATTTTACAGATTTGGGAGCTAGAGTTTCTGATTCCTTTATATTTTCTGCTGACCTTGATTATTTAAAGAATATAGATAATATCTACTTAGTTTCAAAATATTCCAAAGCATCTTTTTGAAAATCTCATTTTCTTTAGTATTCAGAAGGAAATCTTTCTTTTTAAGTTACTCTATCTTCCTGTGTCTGTATAACACTTGAATTACTTTTCTTTCTAAGTGGGCTGTGTAAAAGGATCTTCTTTTTGATTGCAGTCATGACAAACTAAAATAACAAAAATTACTAATTTAAATAATATAAAAATGATAACTATATGATTTTTCTAAGACATCTCTGTTAGTATTATTACAAACTAAAATTCAGATGTATAATGCTGATGAATCCTTGAATTTCAGTGATGCATTATGAAACTAGAATAGAAACTAAAAACTTTCTTCTTTTTATTAAAGTTTTGAGGAAAGTATTAAAAGAAAAAAGACAAGTTGTAGGACCTGTGCAGTTCATTTTGTTCATAGTTTGGAACAGGAAGTGGACATACCCCTTTTCTCTGCGTAGTAGAGATGAGGGCTTGTTAAGAAGGTTTGTAGAAAGTGTTATGATAAAATTCATAGTTAAGTGTAGATAAATGTAAAAGAAGGCAAAAGTTTTGAAGTAGCTTCCACTTGCGAAATGACTGAATAGATGTTGATCTCTTTACCTGTGGAAAGACGTGAGAAGAGATGTGGTGGAGCATTTTGAAGGGCTGAGAAGGTGGTTTTGCACTCCATTTTCTGTCAGAACAGAGCACGTGATGAAGAGTGATGAATCAGATACTGCCTGATGCAGATGCTAGAAAAATACTGTTGTTCAGAAAGTAGCTGGGTGAATTCAGGATTCCTGTAATTCACTGAGAACTGTTAAGCCAGTCGCTTCTGGATTTCTGAAGCCCTCAGGGACTTTTTCATTAAGGGATTTCCTGAGCTAGGATAATAAGCTTTGTATGAGGCCGAGGGAGTGTTCTGAGAAAGTGCGAAGATAAGATTTCCTTCATCTTATTCACTTATCCTTGACTATCTACTGTCAGTCTCTACTAGAGACTGGATGCTGGGCTAGCCAGCCTGTGGTCTTATCAAATACATCCATTTTTATCAAAGACTCTTTCTTAAATTATCTTCCTTTGTAATTCATGCTTCTGGATGAACTGGTAATTTAACAATATGAAAATAGACTAGAACTTTCTTATCTTAATCAGGCCGATTCATCTTGAGGTAGTCCTGTCTGATTAACTCCCAGTTCCAGCTTTCATACCTGCCTATGTTTTGACTCAAGAGATTACGCTCCTTACTCAGTTTTCCATTAATAGGATTCTTATAATCACTAACTATAGGAAGCCAAACTGCTTGGTAAGGTGTGTTGAGAGAAGAACGCCTCTTCTACATGGCTAAAAAGTGGATGGAAGTTTTTTGGGTTTTGTTGATTTTTTTTTTTTTTAATCTGGAAGGCTCATGGAACAGCATGAAACTTTGAAATTTCATGTGCAGATAACTGGAGAAAAATATAGAGGGAAACATGTAAGGGATAGAGGTTCTTAGTTACTACCATCTTCTGCTGCTGCTGCAAAAATGAAACAGACAAGGCATTTGAAGAGTCATGCTTCTACAATTTATTAACTTGTTCCCATACTGTAAAAGTTTGTCACTAGAAGGTTGATGATTTCTTTTGGTGAGGCCTCAAATTGATTAAAAATTTTTTTATACGTGTAACTTCTCATTGATTTATTTAACAACATAAAGATGCAGCAAGATACTTGCAGCACCTAATTGAATTCATTTGTAGTTATAAAGTGTTTATTTACTTCTGTAACACTTTGCTGGATAGTTAGAATTTGGCATGTTTCTTGGAAAGGTGTTATTTCTGATCAATCCTGAACCTACCTACCTAATATAGCATGTCTTATTCTTGACAGGACTGTTGAGATGTAAGGTTTAATTAATGAAAGAAAATCTGTTATTGCTTAAAAGTATGATTTCTTTAAGACTAATTAAGATTATTTATTCTTTTTTAATTACTACAGTGTACAGACTATGACCTGGATTATGGAACTGAATGCTTGCATCTTGCTCTGAAATATTGTAAAACAAATGCCAAACTTGTTGAAGGAACAGCTGACCTCTGGAAGGTAAAGGCAATAATAATCTCTATTTTTTATATATCCTTAAAAATTAATAAACATCACACATTACCATAAAAATTCAGATGTGTTTTCAATTGTCATAGTTAGGCTTTTCTCTTCAAAATTTCAGAATTGTTTTTGGATTATCATGAGCTTTTTTAGAGCTCATTGTCATAGACAGACTTGTGCAGATGCTACCTGAGATAATCAATGAAAACAATATTTATCTGCAAGTAGGAAAACCAACTAGGTACTTGAATAACCTGAGAATCACTATAAATCTATAATCTCTAAAACTAACAACTTTTATGAGATTAGCTTTCTCCTGCTGTTTCTGTATCTTTCGTCTATTTTCCTCTGCTTTTCCTATGAGGACATCAGTTTTTCTCTGAAGCCAAAAATCTGGCTGACAACAGTTTGATTTTTAGAGCAGTTCATTACATTCAGTAATAATGTTTAAGACCTCTTCAAACAATATTCTAAATTTTTTTAAACATCATTCAGCTTGTCTGATAATCTGTAGGTTCCTGATGACTGACAAAGCAGATCTGTATATAGGTGCCAAAGGATGCGTCCCTGCTGCTTAAAAGTATCCCATTTCATTGTTTCGGATGGTGGAACAATATTCTTTCTCAGTAGCTGTTGTGTCATGCAATTTTTAAGTGTTTCTCTTTTTTACTGTTTTATTCATTACCACATTGAAGGATCTGGAGGCAGCTCAAATCACTCCTGCCTTTGACAGTAAATTTCCTCCAATGGGATGTGATTTCTAATAATAAAACAGTAAATCTTAAACAGAAAGGTAATTTCCTGAATCTGCAGTGCAAATTTCCTGTGCAATTTAGCAGCAAAATTTACTTATGCGTTGGTTGCGTACAGCAACTTCTTTCAGTATCTTTCTGGGGACGTAGTCTTTCTGAAACAGCATATTGTCTGTTTTCCTGTTGTCTTTGAAGGGACAGATTGTCATGCATATTTGCATTACATCATTTTTTTGGATGATTTCATTGTTCTCATTACAAAGCATGATACATACATGAAGGGTAACAAAATATACCATAATGTTGGCTTAATTCTTTATAATGTTTATTTAGTTCTTTACTGTCTGTAGATACTATACTACTGATGCCCAGCAGATGAAATGTAGTCTTTTGACCTACAATGACAGAACTACTAAGACTGAAGGAAATATCTAGATGTTATCTGGTCCAACACCTTGCTGAAAGTGGAGCCAGGTTAGTTAGGTTAGACTGTGCAAGGCCTTATTCAGTTGTGTTTTCAATATCTCCAAGAATGGAGATTTCACGCTCTCTGGAGAAAACAGTTCCAATGCATATCCCTCTGTATGAAGGAGACTTTTTTTCATAATATTTGGTCAGCATTTCCCTTGCTGCCTCTTGAACTGGGAAAGGATGAAAGGCCAACAGAAAGATCTGCAAGAGAAGTCCAGTTTACTCTTGTCTATGGCCATTAATTTTGACCCTTCCTCACTCTTCATCTGTTCTTCAGGATGAACAAGCCAAATTCTCTCACGCCACCTTAGCAGCCCTCTGCTGGGCTTCCTCCTATTCCTTGCTGTGTTATATTGGAGAGCCCAAAACTAGAAACAGTGCTCCGGTGTGTTCTCAGAAGTGCCGAATACAGGGGAATAATTCTGTATTCTTGTAATGAAGGCTAGTTCCTTACTGATGCAGCCCAGACATTTGGACTCCTTTTCTGCACTGCTACACACTGCTGACTCATGTTCAGCTTATCCAGAAAGTCCTTTTCTGCAAAGCTCTTTTCTGTATTTTGGCATCAGTGTAGACTGCTGCACGGTTATTATGTCTCAAATGCAGGATGCTGTATTCATGTGTGTTATATTTCACAAGGTTTCTGTCAGCCTCCTTCTCCAGCCTTTCAGTATCCCTCTAACTGTGTGTTGTACCCTTGAGCATATTGAATATTTCCCCACTAGTTTGCTGAGCATATTTCTCCTTTCCCAGGTTATTAATAAAGGTATTATGCAGTATTGTCCCCAGTATCAGCCCCTGGGGAACAGCACTAGTAAACAGTCCCTGGTTACACTTCAGACTCGAGCTTGTGCACATATGTGTTTTAAAAGAGAATTGTTGAAGTGTTAGTGCCACACCAACATTGTTGGTGAAACGAACTCCTGATGCTGTTAACTTTCTAGCATGTGGGACCCATTGCAGTAGCACTGGACTTTTTAAAGAGACTTGTAAACACATGGTAACATGTGAGGAGTGAATTCCTCGTAGGTGCTCAGGTATTGGACAGAGAACTTCTTTGACTGGTGGCATACTCAATAATATCATGGAGAAGGAGATTCAGGTAGAAAAGCCGAAATACTGTGGACCAGGTGAAAGATTCTTAGTGTTGACAGTATTGTGCAGTGCGTGACTGCAGCAACGGCACCCATTTATGGGCAGATACTGTGCTGGAGGTGGTGAATATGCTATATATAGTATACACATAGATGCGGGTACCATGTCATTAATGTACACATACATTTTCACATCCTATTCCCTGTCTTATTTTGTAGCTAAAAGTCATTGGTGTCTCCTGTGGCTTGTGAAGACATTCAAAGTCAAAGGCATAAAAATTGCAATGTCTGTAGGATAGTAAATTGTTTCTGCTGCAAATACTTTCACCAGCTTAGAGGCTACAGAGGAAGATGGGTCCTTCCTGCTTGAATAGCACCCTGGTGTTGGTCACTCTGTACCAGGGTGTTTGGCAGGTGACTTGGGACAGTACCATTAAAGAGGAGAACAGTTGTGCTCGGTCTCTGCAGTTTGATGAAGTGCAGAAGGCTGCGTATTTTCTCAAGTGATACTTGCCTACACAATGGTTAGGAGCTATTGCTGTTTGTTACTAATCGCCTTTCAGAAGCAGAATTGTCTTTTCTCAGCTGTCATTATAACCTGATTTGTACTACCTTGTGTTTTTCTGTAAGGCTTTTCCATGCTGAGATAAACTATATTTTGTATGCCAAGAACTGATGTACTTCCAATGGCTCCAGTCTTATTTTTTTCAACAAGAGGCAAAAAGATATTCCATCCAGATAAATGAGTACTGAAATAATCATTGTTGAGTTTTCAGAAGACATGTAACAGAAAAACTGCAGTCAATTAACAGGTGGAGAAGAGTTTCTAAAGTGCAAATATTACAAACCAGTTTGATCCTATATGGACCTTGAATCTTTAAAAAGAAGACGTGATATTTGTAAGCATTCAGTTTATTTATTAGGTGTACCACCTACTTAGCATTAAATGACTCAAAGCTGTGGGAAAAAGTTACTTGTGCATACGTATTGTCATCTTGAATTAACTCTGTTCTACCAGAGAGCTGTCTACTTGTAGTGCATTAGAAAAAGTAACATTTCAAAGTCACTTATGGCTGGAGCTAAAGCAACAGATAGTTTATTTACTTTCTGGTAACAAAATGCAAAATTAAAATCATTCTTTGTTGTGACAACAACCAGGCCAGGAACATTCAAATTACTTCAGTTTTATAAATATTTATAAGTACTATTATAAATGTAGTTACTATGTAACAATTTATAACATATTTAGAATCAGGATGGCAAAAAAAGGAAACAGGATGACACTATCAACACCATATTTTCAGTTTGTGGGTGCTTGACTCCTTTGAAACAAAATGACCTTAAATGTTCTGGGCCAGTATCTTCTTAAAAAAAAGTATAAAGTCATGTAACAATATGATTGCTGGAGTCTGGTGTATATATGTGTGTGTAATGCAGATCAAAACTGCATTGTAAGAGCATTTTAAAAAGATTGATAAGCATTTAAAGACTTGATAGTGCAAAAAATCCTCACCATTTCTGAAAACAGCAGGTTATTTTCTAATCCTACAAAAATATCCCATACAAAGGAGACCTGTATGATACTTTAGTATAACAGAGGGAAATACTTCATTACACTAAAATGCAGTGCATTTTGTGTATGTGTGATGATAACTTTATTGTGTTTGTTTAGTGAAGAGTTGTTTTGCATTTAACATACAGTTTTGTAAATCTGAAATGTTCATCAAGCTAAATCAGTTTGAAGAAGACTTTTAAACATTAAATGGGAATAACTTTGGTTAACTTTTAAAAGAGCATCCTCTTAGGTAGTGAAAAGTTGCAGTCTGACAATTGAGAGAGAAGGGCACAGAGCAAACTCTTGTCTGATTATTTTGAGGCTTTACTAAATAGATATAGTAGAGTGTTTATTATGCAGAAAAGTAGAGGAATGTTTAATAAGTAAGACTATTCTGCCTTTGCCAAATAAGCAGAGGATGATTTCATGTTTAGTGAGGTATTTGTGTTGAGTTTTAGTGCTTGGCCTAGCAAAATTCTGGATTGCAGCAATAACATTAAAAAAAATCTTGAAACAGTATGTGCTCAAGAGGACAAAATGACAATTAATGTTGTCACATGAAGAGAGAGAATCTGAGTAATTAGAAGCTTGAGAGTTCAGTATTGCTCAACAAAACAAAAGGGTGCACTGCTACAGGCAGAACTTGATTAATAAAGAGTAAAGAGACTAATGTAATTAATATCGACCAACATGGAATTTACTTATTTTGTGAAATTGACTGTAAGCCTTTTTTACAAGATTATAATCTTGGCTGATAAATATGGTAGTGCTGATAAAAAATAGGGTTGGCAGAAGTTTGACTTGTGACTACGTGGCACCTAATTAAAAATAGGATGACTGTAATTGTACTATCCCTCATTAAATAGATTAAAAAATGTATAACTGATATATTTTAAAAGATAATTCTCACCACGTGCAGTTCTGCAGAAACTTATTGTCTCTAAGCTGTTTAACATTTGTCTGATAAAGTTTGCAGACAACAATGCTGTGGTCAAATCTGAACTCAAGCTCTGTGCAACTGTTGATAAATAGAGAGGGTTCAGAGAAGACCATGAACAAAGATTGAATGGCAATTTAATACGTCCTTAGAGATTTAGCTCAATAATGTGATATAAAAAAAACAGAAATGAATGAAGTAGATGATCTCTCTTCTACCAAGGAAGTGAGAACTCCTATGTGTCATCTTTTTTGCCTATCCTTTTTCCACTGTCATTTTTGCCCCTTGTCTGCAAGAGTGGACAGTGCCGTCTTACTTTCTGCTACAGAGTGGCAGTTAAAGTATTCTTCCCAGCTGATTTGGCTATATGGGCATTCCGTCCAGCTGGGGTGAGCCTAGAACGCAGATCCACTCCAGTGAAACTAGAGATAAAGCAGTACAGCTGCTCAGAACATTAAACTGCTGTGTTGATTAGCCTTAGAAGTAGTTTAAAGCAAATTCGTACCAAGGCAATCAATGGTTAGAATCAAACCAAGGGGTGTCTCTGTCGGGATTGTCTGCCTTTTGAATAAGTCTCATGTAAATTTTAAGTACACCTCTTAATCAACATAAGAAAATCCAGAGACCTTATGAATATCCATACCTTGAGAGAAACTTTGGTTGGATTTAGCCTCTTACTCAGTCTTGAAAGAGGTGTAGAGAATCCCTCCCTCCCTGCCTGACTGGTAAGTGGTGGTCACCTGTGGTAGCTGACAGGGATTTTCTCTATTGGCTTTACTATTTTCATAAAGCTTATAGGAGCTTGTATCTGAAATTAGCTTATAGGATCAAAGATTATGAAAGAAATATATATGGATAGTGTGATAGGGTCTCAGGAGGAAACCACCGTCCAAAGTATTTGTTGATGTCTGGCTCAGAATTTCAGGAGTGATTTTAAAGCTTCATTCTTAATTTTTTATTCTTCTATGCTTTCTTCTTGAGCACTGGACCTACTTTATGAAGAAACTTTTTTTAAAAAATCAGACTATTTAAAAATACTTCTGCATCTTAAAGAGATTGTGAATGTTAAACTGAGAGATGACTTTTAACAGAGCTTAGCTAGTCTTGTTTCTTGAAAGGTTTTTAGATGGTTATCTGTTAGAGGTTTACTGCAAATTCAGTATAAAAGCTCTGTAGAAACAGGTAAGTAGAAAGAAACCTTGCAGCAGAATTGGTGACTCAATGATTCTTTATCCTTAAATTTAAATTCAAGACATTGATTCTTCCCAACAGTATATAAACTCAGACACCTAGGATTTTGCAGGCTAGATTCATTCTCTGGCTGCTTCTTCTGCAGGACAAGCTATGGTGAAATATGTTAATTTTTAATTTTAAAAGAATATCATTCCTTGGAGAAATGATGAGTAATGAGAAAGGTGATATTATTTATCCGTTTCTGACTACAATATACAATTTATGAGATGGAGAGGAAAGTGATTGCAAGAATCTCTATGTTAAAATGAAATAATCATCTACATGGAGACTAAAATACCTGTAATAGTATGTTTCTGTTGTAAGATTTACTTCGCAGTACTAAAGCTTTTGGAATCCTATTCAGTCCATTTCAAAAAGAAAGAAAAGTTATTCAGACTCTAGAGAAACAAATGCAGAAAACTCAGTAACATTTTATTTATCATAAAAGGACGCTACAGTAGAAACAAAGACAAATATTTAGGAGTTATTCTTGTATCAGTTCGTGCCACTGCATGTCATTGCAAAGACATTGCTGGCAAAGACTGTTAGTGTCTTGGGTAGATGCTGTCTTCAGTCTTCTGTTCATTTGTTTGCAAAGCCTCATCCTGGGATTGTCAACCACTGTGAGGGTGCAAGGCAGATATGAAAGATAGATTTATAAGTACCAAGTAAATATTTAGCATCTTGTTGTCCATCTAACTTGATCTGAATAATGTCTTTAAGAAAGATCTTGATGGTTTTTAATCCTCTGAAGGCTTATACAAAGCCTACTGTAGTGTCACTGACTCCCACTGATTAATTTGACTCTCATTAACAGTAATAGTCTTGCAAATAACGAGGCTTCTCCCTGGCTGTCTTTTTTATGATCAGAAGTCCTATAAAAAAGGAATCGATTTCATGATAAAATTATGGAGCAGAAATTGATTTTTTTTTAAGGAAATATGAAAATGGATGTGTGAAAATAGATGCAATATCATGTGTTTATGATTCTTCAAAGGGTTAAAAATAGGTTTAGGTTTCAAATGAGTCCTAAGCAGATCTAAGTATTTAAAACAAGGTTTCTCTTGAGTCTCTACTAATTTCTCTGCCTTCTGCTCTCATGACTTGCTAGTGATATTTTACTAGAATGAAGAAATTGACAATATCATTTGTTTATGCTATTTCAAATGTAAAGAATTGCCTTCAGGGCATTGTTTTATTAGTTTTACATTCCTTCCTGCTGTGTTAAATCTAATGAGGCTTGTCTGTCCTTTAGGTGACCTACAAGCGGGATCTGTATGCAGCTGAATCGATTATTAAGGGTATGTGTTCGTCCTTGTGGCTGTCAGTTTGCATATTCCTGAGTCTAATTTAGAATCTTGTGTGCTATAGTTTTAAATGTCTTTAAGAAAAGTTTTATGATTAATAAAATGTGCTTAGGCAAGTTGTTTTAGCTTGTTCATTGGAATACTTAAATTATGCATTATTTACCTTTATTTACTTCTCTTAGAATAGAGAATCTTATAAAAAGCTGTGTATATTAGAGTCAAACAGAGATTAATTTTGAATGGCTTTATAGGGAATAAAAACTTTTTTCATTTCCAGTTCAATTCTAAATATGTTCCGTCTTTCTAATCTAACTAGTAGACTCTATAGGGCTCTTCTGTCTTCTACGTACAGCAACTTGTTACCTAAATTGATGTAGCAATTACATGATATTGAGGTATTCTGCTGATTTATAAATACTTTGTCAAACTGCTTTTAAGCTTTTCCTGTACTGGTAACATTGCTTTCATAGCAGTTTTACATAAAGACTAGATTTGGCCTTTAGCTAGATTGACTCCCTCTAAAAACAATGTAGAAAGGAAGAAGTCTGAAGTACTGTATAAGGAGCACACTGATGGTTGTTGTAAACTGATTCAGGTGACTCTTGCTTGACTTGTTGTTGAGAACTGAGGGATAAAAGCACGGAAACTGATGAAGAAAAATGGACTTCCCTTTGGATTAAAAAAATCTTTACAGAGAAAAGAGTTTGGTTCCTATTTAAGAAAAGCAGAGCAGAAAACCTGTCCTATTAGGGCATGGTGAGTGACTTGCTAGTTGTTCACTTGGGTGGCTCGTGTTACAAGATCCAGTATTGGTTTAGCTTCTGGCTTGGGTAAATGAGACCATGCTGAGCTCAGCTCTGTCACTGTAGACAAGCTTGAAAGCTTAAACAGAGCTCTGATATTGCTGTGGTATTCTGCATGCTGCTTCTCTGGACCTCCAGGAATGCAACAAGTTTGCATACTTACATGCATTTCTTGACTTACAAGACAAAAAATAGTGAATAGAATGAATCAGTATGCAAAAGAGGAATGTCATGGTACAATATGGTATAAAATTAAGCAATTGTTTTATCTCCTTGATGAGTAGAAATTGGAACTAATACTTTACCTTGAATGGTATTTCAATGGAAAAAAGAGAAGCTTCCAATCTTTGAGAAGTGCAAAAGTAATTTTATTAAAAAATTATTTTTTTTTTCCTGGCCTAAATATAGATCCTATTACACCATTCTGTCACCTAGTTCCAATAGAGTATATGAGTGTATGCATGCTTTTACAGTACAGGCTTCTTTTAAGTATTATCTATATAGCTTAGACTGTCAAAGAAAAATTCCCTCTGATGGTGACATCAATAAGGAAATGTAGAAAGCTGATTCAGCTGCTTGGATGTGCTGTTTTATTACAATATTTGTAAATGTTTGCTGTAACGAGTTGTTGTGCTTCTGTCAGTCAAGCTTGTTGAAACCAGTAATACCAGCATAAAATTATGTGAATGCCATGAATCAGCTCAATGAACATACAATGTTGATCGTATCTTGATATCCAAAGCAGTTGATACTGTCCCACATGACATCCTTGTCTCTAAACTGGAAAGACATGGATTTGATGGATGGACCACTTGGTGGATAAGGAATTGGCTGCATGGTCGCTCTCAAAGAGTTGTGGTCAATGGCTCAATGTCCAAATGGAAACCAGTGACGAGTGGTGTTCCTCAGGGGTCAGTACTGGGGCCGGTGCTATTTAACATCTTTGTTGGAGACATGGACAGTGGGATCGAGTGCACTCTCAGCAAGTTTGCAGATGACACCAAGTTATGAGGTGTTGTGGACACGCTGGAGGGAAGGGATGCCATCCAGAGGGACCTTGACAAGCTGGAGAGATGGGCCTGTGAGAACCTCATGAAGTTCAACAAGGCCAAGTGCAAGGTCCTGCACGTGGGTCGGGGCAATCCCAAGCACAAGTACAGGCTGGGCGGAGAATGCATTGAGAGCAGCCCTGAGGAAAAGCGCTTGGGAGTGCTGGTGGATGAGAAGCTCAACATGAGACAGCAATGTGCACTGGCAGCCCAGAAAGCCAACCGTATCCTGGGCTGCATCCAAAGAATTGTGGCCAGCAGGTCGAGGAAGGTGATTCTGCCCCTCTACTCTGCTCTAGTGAGACCCCACCTGGAATACTGCATTCAGCTCTGGAGCCCCCAACACAAGAAGGACATGGAGCTACTGGAGCGAGTCCAGAGGAGGGCCACGAAGATGATCCAAGGGCTGGAGCACCTCTGCTATGAAGACAGGCTGAAAGAGTTGGGGCTGTTCAGCCTGGAGAAGAGAAGGTTCTGTGGTGATCTTATTGCAGCCTTCCAGTACTTAAAGGGGGCCTACAAGAAAGCTGAAGAGGGACTTTTGACAAGGGCATGTAGTGATAGGACAAGGGGCAATGGATTCAAACTGAAAGAGGGTAGATTTAGATTGGATATAAAAAAGACATTCTTCACTCTGAGGGTGATGAGGCACTGGAACAGGTTGCCCAGAGAAGTTGTAGATGCCCCATCCCTGGAAGTGTTCAAGACCAGGTTGGATGAGGCTTTGAGCAACCTGGTGTAGTGGAAGGTTTTTCTGCCCATGGCATGGGGGCTGGAACTAGGTGATCTTTGAGGTCCCTTCCAACCCTAACCATTCTAGGTTTCTATAAAAGATTCAATATTCAACTTGAAAAAAAAAAATCTCATCAAGCTCATAGTTCTATGTTGACTTTGATCTTATTTTTCCTGTGTATTTTTCATATTTATTTACCATGTATGTTCTCAATATTTAATGACAGTTTATCAGACATTATTGGATGAAGTAGATTCATTTTAACTTCCTTTTTCCTTGAACTTAACTGGAGACTGAACTTCTTTTTAATACAAAGGCCAATTTACTGAACCATGTCATTCAGTATTACTCAAATATTTAAGAGTTACAAGACCTTCAGGATATACTGAGGATGTGTAAACTTTAAAGAAAAAGAAAAATCAGAAGCAGTGCTGATTCTTATTTTTTAAAAGTTCATGTTCATCTTGCAATTTATTTGATCGTTTACTAGATACATTCTTCTGTAATGGGCAAGGAGAAAGCCAGATGGACACCTTATGGAAAATATGTTGCTTTATGTGGCTAGAGAAGGAGACAGCACCCTGCTCTTGTGGTTCAGCTGTCCGCTTAGCTTATGGCTCCTTCCCCACATATCCCCCTTGTTACAGGGCAGCTCTTGTGAGGGTGGTAACTGAGTCAGCCCGTTTCTTGTGGGGAGACTAGAAATGAATAAAATGTGAAAAAATGGTTTCTGTGCTCTCCCTCTGCTACCCTCTCATCCTTACAAAGGTGACTTCTTGTATTCTTTTAGTCAGTGCTATCCTTTCTTCTTTATAGATTATTTAAAAGTAAAACAAGTTGATTTGTAATATTTTGAAATGTTTTGCTTAAAAAATATTTTCGTAGTATTTTGTGCTAATTTTAAGTAACACATACACGCTAGTATTTCATACAGAAAAAAATATAAACCTGAGAATACTGCAACCTTCATGCAAATGAATTTCCATGTTACTGTGTATATAAGGGCTTCATTAATCTCATAAGTCATTAAAGAAGATTAGTTATAATTTATTTAGAAGATAAGATCCACTCCAAGCAGCTTCCTCAAAAACTGCTTGAGTAGAAAATGAGGATGCCACTTATTCAAATGAAAGGAACATTCCTAAGTTTAACTATTTATAACTGGAGCAAAAATGCTGTAAATGACCAGTCATTCTCTTCATACTGTTCATAGATACATATTTTACATATGTATTTCATCATGTTATCACATTTTCTGTTTTCACTAGAGACGATATAATCTTTTCCAGCTGTTGGTTATGATAAAAAGTTGAGCTTAAATGAAGACTTACATGGTGGTAAATCAGGCTAATCTCTTACGTGATCTTTATGTATCTAATGTTCTGTTACTGTGCCATATGCAATGTATCTACTTCAGTAACCACAATAGTTTTTTATTTTGCCTGGTCTGTATGAAAAAACTGCACTTCAAGTTCCTTGAAATTTAGATTTGCTCTTTACTGCATTGCATGATTTCAGGAAGTGAAAGCCTTACATGTTCTTTACTCCTTATGCAAACAGTGTAATGAGTCCTCCATAGCTAATTAGGACACCTCATAACAGATTTATCTTACTAATTATCTTTAATGACATTTTGAATAGACACTATTAGCACTTCAAGTCTGCAGTTTGAGAGTTGTGCCTTACCTCATCTATGCCCTTCAGAAGGCTTCAAATACTGGCTCTTCAGGTTGATATAACATGACTTACTTTTATAGGGGACAGTTGATCCATATAAATTAAAATTAGGTAAGCCTTTTAATCACAGTTCATGCTGTACTTAAAGGAAAGCATATTTAAGGGGAAAATATTATTTTTGACCTATTGAGCATCATCCTGTTGTACCCCTATGTTGCATCATTCAGTCTCCTGGTTGTTGTTCGCTTTACAGAAGTAGTCTTAATAGCTATGTCCAGCTGTGCTGTGGAAAACCTTCAAGGATAGATCACTTTTCAGAATGGCAATCATCCTACAAGCCAAGGTGGTACTCAGTTAGGCCTTTCCTACTAGCTGAATAGTTGACTATCACAGTGTCTGCTTTTCTTGAGAGTTCAGAAACCACTATGCGGTACTATATGAAGTGCTTCTACTTGTCATTACTCTTTTTTGTTTTCCTCCACAGCTTAGGTACTGTCTGCTGTGTGATAGCTACTCACTGCTGTTTGTGAGCTTAAGTGTTAGGGACCTGCTAGTGTCATGGAAGCACATCATGGAGACTGCTGGAGAGGCAGCCCCTGCAAGAAAGTGGCAGTTTCCATGCAATGTTTCTTCTGAGGGTTTCAGTCCATGGATAGAAGGAGGACCTTGTGCTGATTCTGATCAGTCTAGAGATACAAACTTGGCTAGCAGAAGTCCCTAGTGTGCTATTCA